TAAAGTGATAACCTGCAAATAAGCGGTAAAAAGATCATGTGCAAAGGCTCTAAGAGAGCTAGTGTGAAGGAGAATCATGATTGACAAAAATTCACATCCTTCTTTTAGGACCCATGTTGGTACGTTGTGGCGACACAACTTGGCACATGGAATGCACACCCAAATACGTAAATACGAAAAACGTCAGGTTCATACCCAGTAACCAATTGTAACGTCATGTAAGTTGGGTGGCAATGGGCCTTAAGGCAAACCAACATAACTACGTACAAGATTGCATAACCCTAGGAAGAAACTAAAAACTTGGTACGTTTACCAAAATTCGGGCGATCATTTAAATTGCGCTTTATGATCGCTAGGCGAGGCTATCTGGGGTGAATATGGGAATTCGATGTTCAATTATAAACCCAAAATACATGTAATACTTTATCAAAAACCGTTGATATAAACTCTCCGGCATTATTCAGTATCACGGACTTTGTGGGATAAGTAGGGTGGTGAACCCTTAATCGGCCAGGAGGTTTAGCAACAATGTGTGTGGACAATCATGTGACCAGTTTGTCGATTTATCAACCAAAGCCAAAAGTACTCTCATTTTGGTTGGATTAGTCCACATATATTCCCATGAATCCACTATGAAAAAGGGTGATTTCGTATCTTTGCGAGGAATGATATAGAAAATCAATTTCCCTAATGAGCAGGTTTGGCAAAGTGTGCTAGTAGGCTCAAGCTAGGTAAGGAGATGCGTTGTAGCATCATTATTTGACCTAAGTGTCCCAAATGGTCGTGCCAAAGCAAGTAAACTGATCAATCACTAGGCTCCAGGCCGGCCACATGTGGTGTGTTCCCAGTTGGGAGACAACCCATTAGCCCCAAATCAAAACTGCATGCTCATTTTTGGAGGTGGTGCAAAAATATTCCACTCTATTTTCTTCGATGGTTTCATTTATGATCATTATTCTCTCAAATATCCTTAAAAACTCAATGACAGGGAGAATTTAAAGTCCCTTAAATGGTAATTCGGTACCATTCATACAACGAGGAGCGTGCAAATGCTCTTAATTAGGTTGGATAGACCTAAAGTCGTTTTTAGAGATGTGATTTAGGTGTAAAGTTAGTGTGCATAGTATTGCATTCATCCAAACAACTAACTTTCCCACATTCCTACCTAATCATGTGTTTAATTGAATTCGGTCACATGTATACAATAAACATGATTCAATTAACTCGTATTTGAGGACAATATCAATAAGATTATCCATAAGTAAAACATACACTAAACTTGAATCCAAGAACATGGAAAAATGTTCACAAAGTAAATGGTTTATTAAGGGGATTCGGCCAACAAGGCCATCCATGTCAAAATTATGCTCTTCTAACGGTGTTTGGTGGAGCAAAATTAGTCTCACATATTGCCTATAAGGATGGTACTCATCAACAACATTGGTAGGGGCACGAACAAGTGCATAACCAATGATCTATTCCATCGAGACGGAAGTAGATTCTGCAGGATTAAGGTTTAGGAATATTTTCCCTTATTCTTGAAGTTTTTAGGTCTTAGGTGCCAAAGATCATGCTTCGGGCATGATGCCACACATTGGAATGCCCTGATTCTACCAGACATTGTAAAAACAAACGAAATTGGATCGTGAAAGAGACAGGCCTCGAATTGGATTCGGTAGGCTCCAATTGAAGATGGAAGGGTCTGTTCGATAGGTTTCTGGTGAAGCAGAGCAGCATCGTTAGGTGCACCTCTGTTGAAGCAAGGCACCACCTTTCGGTAAGTTGTGACTGAACTAGGTCGAGCCATTCGGTAGACTCCAGCAAAACCGAGTTTATGTCATTCTTTCACGTTTGTGGTAGTAATCAGATCCGAGAATTTGGTAAACTTCTACTTTCTACACTGCTGCTTCAGAAGCGAGTTAAAAACATAGAAAGACGAGAAAAGTATTCTCTAGTCAAAATTCGATCGGATTTATAAACTTCAGAATTGTACTCATTCATGGACGTAATCATGGTGTGCTTCAGGCAATATCTTGTACCCCATATAAAAGTGATTTCTATTAGAAACGTCTAAATAAGGGAAATTGAACTTGTGACGGTTCGACATTCCATTGAACTTGGAGGGAACAAGATTATGATTGGTGTTATGGGAATGAACCATCCATAAGCATCAAAGTTAGAACAGTTGAGTTCTAAGACATGGTTTTCATGAAAAAAGTTGGGTTTTCATGGGTGTATTGTTTTATGAAAACTTCGGGTTTCAAAGGCACTAAATTTGAAACTACAGGTTCAATTTAGTTTATGAACGTTTAGTTCATGAAGGAGAAGTTTCTGTAGGAACATAGAATGCAATATGTTGATTTAAGTGTTGTGGATTTGAGTTGCTTCAGGAACTCAAGTGTGAGCGCTTCTGGACTATGAAAGTGAGTCAACGGTTCAAAGTATAAAAATAAATTATTGAATCGTTAATATCCAAAAGTGATCTTTAGGTCAATAATTTTGGATTCATTATCAAATTAATGGACTGCAGGTCACTTTTAATTAATTCAATATATTGGGACCAAACATGGTCAATCGTAGAAGCAAAATATTGCTAAAGTAATAATGTTGGGTCAAAAATACCATAACCCCAAAAATTGGGCTAAGTGTCGTGAGCAAAAGGCACGGGTATAGCTGCAATAAAAGCCTATAGAGTGGCTTCAGGCCACAGGCCGAATGATAGAAGCCTAGCAATACGCTATTGGCGAGATTGGGCCGAGACCATAGCATAGGGCAGGCCCAGAGGCCTACGAGTGCGAGAGAAACCCCAGCTGCAGCTGGGTTTTTGATTTGGGCTGAAGGGGAGGCACGGGTCAGTCCCAGCAAAGTGCTGGTCTACGGGTTTGCATGAGGACTAAGCCCAGCCTCGTGGGCTGGCTAATTGAGGCACGGGCTGTGGGAAAAGATCCAGCCAACTAGGCTGGTGGAATGGTTGCAGGCCGGGGCAACAACAAGGCTTAGCAGACACAAAGGCTTGCTGGCAATCGGACTAGAACTGTTTGGTGGGCGCGAGGCTTCAGGCCCTATCAAGATTGACCCCAGGCCGAGGCCTAGTTGTTGTGATGGTCAGCTGGGCTTCAGGCCAGCAACTTTGCCAACGGTGGTGGTGCCATGGTGTCTAATTTTCCCTTCTTTTATTTTATTATTAGTTTTTTTTTTAAATTGTTAGGGTTTTACAAACCCTAGATTTGCTTCTAATTTATGAATATATTTTGACTCACATATTCCACATAACAAATATAATTGCGTGATGCATGAAACAAATATATAAACATATACAATACATATATCGGAAGGTAAATATAAATGTAGGGGGTTCATGTATCATGAGGAATGTTTTCATGCTTCATGGTTGTTTCAAACATCTTACTTTATTTTAAGTGTACCTGATTGGTAAAAAACTACAAAAGCCTTTGAATTTGTAGAACATCCTTCTCAGAAAGCTAGAATTGCATCTTCAATGCGTTGTATCACATTCAACACAGAAAAATTAAATTGAATCAATAGCATGTAGATCAATTCAATAAAATAATAAATTAATCATAAAAAAGAATGATTAAAACGTAATACTCCCCTAATTGAAAAATAAACTCTATATAGCGCAGCGTCAAGAACATGTTGATAATGTGTTGTAGACATAATTTACTGAACAATTATGGAAGCTAGAGAGAGAGGGAAGATACGAAATAAAGAGAGAAAGAGATATGTGTAATTGTGAGGTGTGTTATATTCCACCCCATTGTACGTTTATTTATAGTAGTAGGAAATGTTAATTCCTTACCCTTTTAGAATTACAACTCTAATAGGATATTAACTACTACAAAAAAATAGGCTAAATAGCCAAAATGGTCCTTGAGATTTGCATAACTCATCACTTTGGTCCTTAACATTTCAAATCGATAAAAGTGGTCCATGAGATGGTCCACCATCCATCATTTTGGTTCTTCTGTTAAAAACTCCGTTAAGTGTCCCGGAGCTCTTGGCCGGAAGTTTGGACAATTTTCAAAGCTTCGTAACTCAATCGTTTCTTAATCAAATTTGACCCATAATATATCAAAATGAAGATAGGAAAGTGTAGAATAAGATTATATCTATTTGGAAGCCCAATGGCTGCTGAAGATAGCCAGAAAATAGCCTCAAAGTTGACTAGTCCGAAGGAAAACTGGAAAACTGGTCATAAATTGGGTAAACTTTAAACGTTCATAACTTCTTCAATACTCAACAAAATCAAGTGATTCAAAAACAAAAATCATACTTCTCGACGAGACGAAGAGAATAATACCTTTTTTGATGGCTAAATTGCTGTGGTTTGGCCAGAAATGGCTCGAAAGTGGCTATCTTGGTCTCAAATTAGCCACTTTCGAGCCGTTTTCCGGCCAAACCACAACGATTTATCCATCTAAAAAGGTACCGCTCTCTTTGTCTTGTCGAGAAGTATGATTTGAGTTTTTTGAATCACTTGATTTCGTTGAGTATTGAAGAAGTTATGAACGTTTAAAGTTTACCCAGTTTCCGGCGAGTTTTCCAGTTTTCCCTCGGACTAGTCAACTTTGAGGCTATTTTCCAGCCATCTCCGGCATCCATTGGGCTTCCAGATAGGTATAATCTTATTCTACACTTTCTTATCTTCATTTTGATATATTATGGGTCGAATTTGGTTAAAAAACGCTTGAGTAACGAAGCTTTGAAAATTGCTCAAACTTCCGGTCAAGAACTCTGGGACACTTAACGGAGTTTTTAACGGAATGACAAAAACGATGGATGGTGGACAATCTCAGGGACCACTTTTATCGATTTGAAATGTTAGGGACCAAAGTGATGAGTTATGCAAATATCATGGACCATTTTAGCTATTTAGCCAAAGGAATATACAAGATATCGCTAGATACACTAGGATATACACAATCACATTGCTAATCTAATCAAACCTAATTTATCTTTAATCTATAGGCTCTAAAACCTCAAAAAAAAAAAAGTAAAACAAAACCCAAAACCTCAATTTGAACAGCAAGGGTTTTTCCAGTCCCGCCTCCTCTCTTTCTCTCGTAGGCAACGACACAAGTGTCTCTCTTCCTCCTCATTTTCTTCTAGTTCATCTTCTCTCTCATCAAGCTTTACGTCTTGAACGACCTTTAGGGTTTTGAAATCTGAAGCTTCACAAGCATGGAAGATGCTTCAAATTCAAACGTAATCCCCGACAAAAGAGTAAAGCAGTGAGTTCAATTTCTCACTCTGCAATTATGCTAATTGGGTTTCGATATACAAATTATGTATGATATTTACTTCATGTTGCTTTCGTTTTTCAGAGAAGCTCCCCATCTTGCTGCTTTTGAGAGAAATGAAGGAAGGATTAGATATAGTCACGGTAAAAGTCCAAGCTTTAATTGCAAAGGTGAAAGAGTTCCCTCTTCTGGGGTCGTTTTAGTTTCGCTATCACTTCGTTTGTTTCGGTCGAAAAATCTTGTTTCGAAATTGTTCTGCCAGTTTGTAGATTGTAGGAAAACTGTTTCTAGATTGATAGTTTACTTCCATGAGGTTTAATAATAATGAGGGATAAAAACCGTTCGACTATAAAGCTATGTTTTCTTCGGGAAACATTCCAATTTTTGCAGCAATCTTTTAATAATTGGAGATTATAGGAATCCCATTGGCATGTTAGTACAACAAGCATGATTTGCATCAAAAGGCACATGTTTCATTTGTTTTCTTCTCCATGTCAAATGTATAAGGTGAAAGCAAATAATTATCCAACAGTAGACGGGATAAGCTATCTTGAAGCCAAGCATTTGCTGCTTCTAAACTATTACCAGTCACTTGTCTATTACTTACTTCGTAAGGCTAAAGGGTTTTCAATAAATGGGCATCTTGTTGTTCGTAGCCTTGTGGAGATAAGGTTGTTTCTGGAAAAGGTATGGGCCTCTGGTGATCCTTTTTTTTCTTTTTCTTTGTCATTCTAGTAACTATGTATTCAGTATGACCTTTTTCTTTTGCAACATATTTGACCCATTAACAAGAAGCTCCAATACCAAGTTGAGAAGCTTACGAAGGCTACTTCAAGCACAATTGAAGATGTAAGGCCACGTGGAAATGAACCACAATCCAGTGTGCCTTGGCAAACAGATGATTTGTTGAGATACCGCCCTAACCCTGAAATGCTTGTTAGCAAAACAGATGTGAATTCTAAGGTGAAATGTGCATCAGTACAATGTTTGAATTCCTCTTTTGTCACCTGCCAAACAATATTTGAGGTTTCATCTTCTATTTTGTATATTGTAGGATCATAATGATGTGTATCGACCCCCCAAATTTGCCCCGACTTCAATGGAGGAAGATAAGTTGTCAAAGCAGGACAAAAATGCATTGAGAAGGGATAAGAATACTCTACGATAAGCTAAGCAAAGTGCTTTTGTGAGGGAACTGGTGGATGATTTGAAGGGGAGGCCTGAAGAGGCTTGTTGTGGCCTATTTTTATAGGGGTAACAGGCATGATGGCTGGATTTACTGTTCTCGTAACTGCTTTTTGCTGATATTTATAGATTGTATAGAACTAGCCCGATATAGGGCAAAGAGGGATGAACGTGAACGACAAGAAGAGGTACTTTTTACGCGTGCTCCTATTACAAAGAAGGAGAAACAGAGAGAGAAACACTTAAAGAAGTCAAGAAATGGGTATGCACACTTAAGAATTTATTTTATGATATTCTTTTTCAATTATTCAAAATTTATTTTTATGTAAGATTTGTTGATGGAAGACTATTCTGAACTTGTTTCTCTTAGATTACTTGGTTTGACGGACAATTTCTATGTTGAAATCAAGGGTTTACCTTTGGACGATGAGAATGATGAGCAGGTAGCAAGCTTCAGTAGTGCTAGGGGTGGAATGGGGAGGCATAAGAAGCACAAGGTATATCATGTAAAGTATAATGTATGATATCTTGAAAAATGAGCAAGTTTACTTTATGAAATGTGTGCTCCTTTATACTTTGAGCCAACTGCATTCTTGTTTTGTTTCACTTGGACTTTTTCTAACGTGCAACGACTGCTCTTGATGTATGATTCTGCGACAACTGCCTTATATTCCCTTGACGTTGTTGCTCTGTACTAAATATGTGGGTATAAATGTAGGACATGAATGGCCATGTTATAAAAGCCTATTGGAAAACTAGAAAGCATGTCTCGTTCTCATGGGCATGCTTGTCGGCATCGTATGCCAACCATTTAGGGATAAATGCATCTTTATATTGAATGCTTGAGCCTCTGTATAATCTGGAAAATGACTATTTCGGTATCTGAATTAAGACTACTGATTAGTAATTGTACCATGTTAATTAGAATATTTGGTGGTGGGACTATAGCCATGCTTATGCATTTCTTACCTAATCACAACTCATCTCTGAATGACTGCATCTGTTTTTCTCCTTTATGTTTCTATATGGTCAGAATCTTGAAGTTGTACAAAACGACATGTGCATATGAATCTATATCATGCCTACAAAGTTAAAAGTTTTCTTGGCATTTCATGTAATATCATGATATATCCACCAGTCAGTGAATGTTACTTAGTGTAAAACTATCCAACTGTCAAGTTAAGAGATGTTGACATTTCATAATCAAGACTGGTTGAGATTTGTTACAAGAGTGTACCGTAAATCCTGAACTTTTCATATCTGAAAACTTCCCATTGTTTTTCTCTAGCAAGCGGCAGGTATATTTCTTTTTTGGACGAATCAGCTGAATATACTGCCATACAAGTGTTCCAAATTATCCAGCTAGCTACTAGGAATTTTTTATGTGCATTAGCATCTAGTATCCAATGCGTTTGTTTTTCATCCCTACATGCATTTGCAGGGTCGGCCCTGGCCCAGGGCTAGCAGTGCGACCGTCCAGGGCCCAAAAACTCAAGGGGCACCAAAAATTGATAGGGTAGTATATTCATATATATTTTCGTAAGCATATAAATTTTGAAACCTTGCTTAAATCAACAAGAACTTTAGGCAGGAGCGGTGGTGTTTCGTTGCTTACTCAACAAGACAGTGTCGTGTTTGAAACCCTATGTGTTCATTTTTTTTTCCAATTTTTTACGATATTCTGTTTGGGATCAAAGCAAGGCACGTTGTGCTTTTCCTTTCATGCCTTTCCCCTCACCATTTAACATCAGGATGTAATTTGCACAACAAACTAAATTACAAATAAGTTAAAACAACAAATTAGAAATATGGTGCCCAACAGCAAGATGTACTTTAATAAAACAATAAATTATAAATATGGTGCCCAACATCTATTAATGTTCTTCCTCAACCCTTTTGTCGTTTCTTTTAACTTCCTTGGGCAACGGCCACAAGCCATGCCTCTCAATTTCTCTTATTTTATTTATAAAGAAATATAATTCTTGAAAAAATAATTTTACAGTAACAATCACATATGGTTGTAGGTCGGAGAAAATTGCAAAGGCATAGGGACGAAGAGGTAGAATTGGAGAAGGATTTTGATGACAAATTTACCTAGCTAACGAATTTCAGAAAAAATTACGAAAAACATGTCATTAGTTCTACAAGATTTAGGGGTTAAAATGTGAACGATGATGAGAAATTCCATGTCGAGAGGCATAGCTGTTGCGACCCGTGGAGGAAGTGAAAGAGATAAAAGTTAAAGTTTGAGGAAGAACAAAGATAGGTGGTGGGACTCAGAATTTTAATTATTTTTAATTCTCTCATGCATTGCTTATACATTTCAATTAAAAACTCAAAAATATGATATATTTTTTTAGTCACATATTGACAAAGTAAGTAAATAAGAAAAAACACCTCCCAGTTTTATATAAAAGCACTCTAAAATTTCGAGGGGAAACATCTACTTGTAAGCTAGGGTTTTTTGGTTCCCTTCTCTCAAACCAAATGTTGTGTCATCAATAGAAATAAGCGCGTTAATCAACCCTTAAATAATAATCCAATCATCAACTTCTATGTCATTTAGTTTACCATATTTTGTCTACAAATTTAGTCTTTTTAACATTACCCTTTCTAAATTATTAAAGTTGGTGTGCTTTTCTAAGTGTTATTTTATCGAAGTCTTACCTGTAAAAACAAATAAATTTTATTATATGGAGTTAGGGCATATTTTTTTACGTTGTCTTGGACCTCAAAAATCTCAGGACCGGCCCTGTGCATTGTTTTCCCATGGTTTTCATCGGGCATTTTTTGTTTATCATAATATTGTGCAAAGATTTATTGTCCTAGCGTTGTATATGGTGAAGGCATTGACACTTTCTAACCGCTTGTGCAGATGAGGCATTGATAGACAAAGATATGCCAAGCCTGACAACTCCCAACGGTTTCTTTTCCGGTTTAAGGTCCAATTGCAACAGTAGCATGAAATAGCTTTCTTCAAACCTCAAGTTGTTTTTCTTTTGGCGGCAGTGGGGATGCGCACTAATTAGAAGGTTGGAGGGAGCCAACAAGTAGGCAACAAATTTTGCTGTTTGGACTTGATTAGCATGCTTGTTCAATTCTTTTTCTTCTAACCCTCCACCAAAGGACACCTAACTATGATATTTACTTGATTTATCTCGGCTCAATCGTATATGCAGTTACCATTGAAACTCCATAATTCGTGGTTAAGTGTTAATCAAAGCTTTAATCTCATCACATCCCCACAAGTTTTACGTTTGATTCTGGTTCAAGTTTACCTGTTTGAATGAGTTAAAGTCTTGAGCGTCTGCGGTTAAACTCAAGCAGGGTGAGGACGGAAAGAAACGAGTTGTATTAGAAAACAAAGATATGGGCGAGGACATCAATCACATAAGTGACTAATGCGCATCGGAAATCTTCACTACATGCAAGCGTGGCGTGAAAGAGAGGAAATCATCGTCCCTTTGTCCTCCTTCGAACCCCATCTTCATAATTTAAAACCCCATCAGGACCTTCAAAATTGGCCCAAAAAAGCCCTGTTTAACTCCCAACCCGACCTGAAATCCAAACACATTTTGATGTTCTCGAATTTTGGAATTCTAAGACTTTCGGTTTGAAATCCAGACAAAGATTTCAAACCGATAATTGCAGTTCGGGCTTTGGGATTGGGTTTCCAAGGAATTGGATCCACTTCGAACCTTAGTGTCCGAAGCCTAGGGATCCACAAATCTGGGCCACACATTTGTGTGGAAAAGAAATCGCAGTCGTTAATGGGAATAGTTTGATTCAATTTGTGTGATTCAGATTTATGAATCATTGAGCTCAGACACTAAAGTCCGAAGTAGATCCAATTCCGATTTTTAGTTCGGGGCCCAAACCGAAACCATCCCTAGAGATGGTTATGTTCAATAGCAAAAACTACTAGCCCACCCACCAAATTTATCGTTTTTCCTCGTTAGGGAAAAAAAAAGCCTAATTCTTTAAAAAAAAAAAGCCTAATGAGCGAGCTTAATAATAAACGGTCAATTATTTCAAATTTCAAATTTCAAATTTGTGAAGCAGTAAAAGGAAGGAGACGGAGATTTCAAACCCTCAAACGGTCGATTAATTTCAGATTTCAAATTTGTGAAGCAGTGAAAGGAAGCATACTGAAATCTCTCTCTCATGGCAGAGGCACAGCCCACCGATTCCCACGCTGAATTCCCTGGTTCTTGGTCTTGCAACGTTCTTGGCCTCGAAACACACCCCAAACCGATCGACAGTGGCCATGTCGCTGACGACGAAGACTCGACCCTCTCCGCGCTCTGTGTGCGAGGTTCGAGATTGGTCCGAACCGGGTTTGTTCAGTCCACTTGCTCAGGTTTGTAACCAACGCAACTCGCTCATTTCTTGGAAACTAATCAAATAAATTGACCACAATTTGTACAATTAGGGTTTGATAATTTTGCATTTGGTTGGTCTTTTTTTCTTGGTGTATAATTCCACACTGATTTGTCTCTTTAATCAGATAGCATTGTGTTATTTGTGAATGCCGGAGGGGAGGCTGTAAGGGAAAACATAAATCCCGGGATTCGAGTTAAGCCTGACGGGTTTTTTCAAGGAGGTGATGTTCTAAGAACTAACGAGACCATTGACGGCAGTGATGTGCCATCTGTTTATCAATCTGCAAGGTTTGGGGATTTTTCGTACCGTTTTGAGAACCTGTCTCCAGGAGATTACTTCGTGGATCTTCACTTTGCGGAAATTGTATACACGAATGGTCCGAAAGGAATGAGAGTGTTTGATGTGTTCATGCAGGACGAGAAGGCAAGTAAATCTAATTAAAATAGTTTGCTAACATGTTTGTTAGGTACATGAATTTTGATTCGTGCATAATTTCGCTGACTAGTAATTTCTGGAAGTGGTCTGTTTTTCGGTGTGTGATAACAGGTTCTATCAGGAATTGATATCTATTCTATCGTTGGAGCTAATAAGGCGCTACAGTTGGTAGATGTTGCAGTTTCGGTGGGGGAGGATGGGGCAATTTTGATAAGGTTTGATGGAGTTAATGGAAGTCCAATTGTTGGGGGAATTTGTATAAAGCAGGAAGCTACGTTACCTGGTATATTCATATTTCTACTTTTAGTTGGCCACATGAGATGTATTTGTATGTAACTTACTCTCGAAACTCATGCCTTGTGTTATATAACTTGAATGCAGCATCAAAGATGAAACTTGGACATCTTGTATGTAAAAATTGTGCTGCTGAGATAGAAATTTCATCTGCTCAGGTTAGATTTAGCTTCAATTGATATAAGAAGATTGGAACGCTTGACTTTTCTTTTACATTGCCTCTGAATTGATGAAAATTGCAGGACAAATATATGAGGTTGGAATTTACAACCAAGTATGAAAAGAAGATAGAGGATCTGAAGAGACAGTTCCAGCTCAAGACAGATGAATGCCATGAGGCCTGGATGTCACTGACATCTGCAAACAAACAGTTACAGAATATCACCATGGAACTCGATAACAAGTTGTATGAAAGTCATTGCTTAGGTAAGGCAAGATCCAACTATGAAATAGTGTTTAATACTTTACTTTTGAGTATCATAAGGGAGCTACGGTCAATCTGATGGTTTTAGAACATTTATATTGGATCACATATAGTCTTATGATTATCATTTGTTCCTTTTCAGATCATGCTAGAGACGAAGCTGAAGCAAAATTGAGAGATATTTCTACTAGATATGAGCATGATAAGGGGTTGTGGTCCGCAGTTGCTGACAATTTAGAAAGTAAAGTCAAGGTAGGTACACTATTTTCATTTATTATTTCCAAATTCATGTAGTGACCCCTTGGTAGATAGAACTGAAAATAATTTGCAGTTGATGAAGGAAGACTATTCTCAACTCTATTCTGAAGTGCACAAATTTACTGATGTAATTCCAGAATTCAACAATATGGTACTTGCAATTCAAACGATGGGTAAGTTTGTATCAGTGTTAAATAAGATTTATCTGAAACCATATATCTAATTAAACTATTGATATTTTAGTTGAACAGTCTGATGAACTTAAGCTTAAGTTCAATGAGGAGCAGGCAAAGAGGAAGGTACTTTATAACCAAATGCAGGAGGCAAAAGGTACAATATTTTTCTTAGTAGTTGTGAATCAAATTGGTTGGTGCTCTTACCTTGAACTGTACATTTCAGGGAACATTCGGGTGTTTTGTCGGTGTCGCCCATTGCGGAAGGATGAGTTATTAGCTGGGCATGCAACAGTTGTAAAATTTGACGCAGCTAAGGATGGAGAACTTGGGATACTTACTAGTGGGTCCACTAAAAAGATGTTCAGATTTGACAGAGTTTACACACCAGAGGATGATCAAGGTATTGTGCATACACCACAGTAAAAACTTTCTACCTTACTTAACCTGGTGTATTAGTTGATTACGGGGAACTGGTCAGTCAATGATTTTACACACGAAAATTTGTTGACTTAAGGTTTTGTCTTGTTACAGTTGATGTATTTGCAGATGCTTCACCAATGATAACCTCAGTGTTAGATGGTTATAATGTTTGCATATTTGCCTATGGGCAAACGGGGACTGGAAAAACTTTCACGATGGAAGGTTCTGAAACTAATCGAGGGGTCAATTACAGGACCTTGGAACAGTTGTTTAAAACCGCTGAGGAAAGGAAAGAAATTTTTACATATAGCATATCTGTTAGCGTGCTTGAAGTTTATAATGAGCAAATCAGAGACTTGCTAGCAGCCTCTCCGACATCGAAAAGGTAAGTTTTACTCGTACAATTTAGTGCAACTCAGAGATCTCACCTAAGCAATAGTTTGTTGTTAGCCATTAAATTTGGATTATTAGCGTAGTGTACATGCCGCTTGATTTGTTTGTAACTCAGAGGTCTCACCTGAGCAACAGTGTTCCATTAGCCAGTAAATTTTTTAATTATTAGCATAGTGTAGATGCGGCTTGGTTTGTTCTTATAACATGCAGAGACTGTCGATTTGACAAGAAATTTTCTTTTCATTATAGGTTGGAGATGAGGCAAGCTCCTGAAGGTGTTCATCACATACCTGGAATTGTTGAAGCCAAAGTTGAGAGCATTAAAGAGGTTTGGAATGTTCTGCAAGCTGGAAGCAGTGCAAGGGCAGTTGGATCAAACAATGTGAACGAGCATAGCAGCCGATCTCATTGGTAATTGACCTTAGTTTAATCTACATATATTGGTCTGACCTTTTGATCCATACAGAAAGAGGGTGTGCTTGTGTTGGCTTTTATAATATTGCTTATTATATTTGTTGATGTTCTTCATTCCATCTTCTGTCAGCATACTCTGCATCATGGTAAAAGCTCAGAATTTGATCACTGGTGAGTCCACAATGAGCAAGCTTTGGCTTGTGGATTTGGCTGGCAGTGAGAGACTAGCAAAAACTGAAGTTCAAGGGGAACGCCTTAAGGAAGCTCAAAACATCAATAGATCTCTTTCAGCTCTGGGGGATGTCATCTCAGCTTTGGCAACAAAAAGAAGCCACATTCCATACAGGTTTGTTTCTATTTTTTTTTGTATTGACATTTGTCTATCCCATTCTTTTATAATCTGATGTGTGTGTTGGTGTTTGCAGGAATTCCAAGCTCACGCATCTACTTCAAGACTCCTTGGGTAAGCATGAAATTGAATGTTGCTTGCAGATTGAATGCTCCGTTATTATGCCAGGAAACGGAAGCATTTGTACATCACAATCTTTATACATCACATCCTTATTATAACTTTAGAGTAGGAAGTGGGAAACAACTTTTATTACGGTCTCACGAATGCGAGGATTGATATGTTAAAGACTTGGTGTGTCAACTGATAATTGATAAAAGAATTTTAAAACAAGCATCAAGTTGGAATTTCTTATTTATATAGAGATCAGTGTGTAATATCATATATTTCTTTTGGCATGTCACAGGTGGTGATGCTAAAACTCTAATGTTTGTCCAAATAAGCCCGTCTGAGCAGGATGTAAGTGAGACTCTAAGTTCTCTTAACTTTGCAACACGGGTTCGAGGTGTTGAATTGGGTCCTGCAAGGAAGCAAATAGATACGGGTGAGGTTCAAAAGTTAAAACTAATGGTAAGTTTTGGGAAGGCCAAAGATGGTGCTCTGCACAAGTTAGAAGAGAACTTTCAACTAAAGAAGCAACT